TTGCATTATAATGTTTTTGTTAGTCTATCCAGTTGAAGCCACTAGATGCGGCGCTGCTGCGTTGTTAATTACAAATATTGCGGGAAAAGAGAACATCAATGCGGAGAATATCTTGTTTATGTCAAAACTGAAACCAAGCCGTTCACACAGAACGCATATTTCGCGCATTTTCTTGAGGGACATCTATCACCGTTGCACTCGCATCTTGCACAAAGGAGCCGCATGTTTAGAAAGCCATGTAAAATTAATGCAAGTTCAACTTTGTAAAAACATATCTCGAGACTTCATGGCGGGCTTTTTCCCCATCCCATTGCAACTCGTGTTTTTAAATAAAAAATGTACTCTGTGTGATTGGCTTTCCGCCCTTTGTATTAAACTATGCATACATACATGATGCTGTTTTGTTTATAGTTGTTTAAGCAACTTAATTAATTATAATTGGTTTTTAAACATTATGCACTTTTTTCACAGATAGTCATGTTATCTTATGCTTTGAATAAACGTGCATTAGTAATATTTTGCTCGATGCGCCCTCTTGTGGCCTCAGGAGAGAAGCCAAAAGCTTTTCTTCACCCTAACTGAAATTATGCATTTTAAATTCGAATTTCGTTTTTCAGCCATTTTGACAGCCCTAACGAGCACATTCTCGAAGCCCAAACTCACCTGCTGTCTGTGTCCAAGCCCACAAAGTCCTTCTTCTCGAATGGCACACACAGCAGTTGTATCTTATCACCGGATTTATCGGTTGCTCTGTCCAGCCTTTTGGACTCCAGGACAATAAATATGGACTCCACGAAATCCTCCACCCGCTTCTCCACATCAGGACAGTCGTCGTAGCTGGGATAGAAGGCCACATCTGTCCGCTGCTGTTCGGCCACCTCCCCCTGCAGCCCGAACACCAGCAGCCGCGAGTCGTACAGCGTGGAGCCGAACACCTCCTTCTGCCCGTGGAAGCGCTCTGACGTCTGCGGCCACTCTTTGGCCGTGGTGCAGCTGGTCACTGAGATGAGACCCACTACTTTGCGATGGGTCTGAAAGTCGCCCCAATCGTTGTTCTCAGGAGGGTAATGGTGGCGGTATCTGATGAAGAGGACGCGCTGGGAGTCCCGTATGCTGACCTGGCTCACGCCGGTGATGCGTTTGTAGATGCGGAAGAACTGGTCCTCTGGGACGATGCCCATTGGCTGGACCACCACCAGGACCGTCTGATGGTCCTCAGCACACTGCATGTAGTCTGGGACACTCATGTCTGCGTACAGCAACTCTAGAGAAGGAAAAAAATCCACAAAACAACATATTGTTTTATTATTTAGCAGGTTTCAAATATGTTGATGCCTGATGTATAGTAAATGCTACTTTTAAAACAACAGGCTAAATAGAAATTTATACTAAATAACAAATTTTAATTAATAAAAGTAATTATTATTATATATATATATATATATATATATATATTAGGGCTGGGTTTTGACACAATACCAAGAGTTCCTGTAAAACCACAACAAATTCCTTGTGTTTGCGCACACTTAAGTGGTGAATAAAGCTCATTTTGATTCTGATTCTAATAAGAAAGCACCCCTACAACAACTTCTGAAAGTGAACGGTATGTGTTTTACTCGAGCATTACATAAAAATGTCATTTTAACATTAGTGTAATCATTTTAACATGAGTTTAGGAACTGAATAATAAAAAGGAAAAATAAAACACTGCTTAGAATTTACTCTTTGAATTCAATATGCACTGATTCTTATTTAAGCTACAAACGTTATTTAGGTAAAAGCAGTGAGTGATTTTCTCTTTGTCTTTTGTTCATGGCCCCAAATATTGCAAGCTGTAGCGATATGCATATTGCGATATGTACATTTGCGATATTTCGATAATTTCGATATATTGCACAGCCCTAATAGAAACCATTATTTTATATTGTAATAACATTTTGCAAGATTACTGTTTTTTTTTCTGTATTTTGATCAAATAAATGCAGCCTTGATGAGCATAAGAGACTTCTTTAAAAAACATTACAAGTCTTACTGATCCCAAACTGTTTTTGAAAGAAGTCTCTTTCACAAAGCTCACAAAGGCTTCATATATTTGCTCAAAAATGCAGTAAAAGCTTTTGTGTCTTTTGTAATTGAATATATTATAAAATAGAATTTATTCATGTGATGCAAAGCTGAATTTTCAGCATCATTACTCCAGTCTTCAGTGTCACATGATCCTTCAGAAATCATTCTAATATGCTGATTTATTGTTCTTATTATCAATGTTGAAAACAGTAATGTATTGTAATGGTCTGCTTGACAGAAATTAATGTTTAATCATCATTTAAATACACACTAATAAAACAGGAGTACTGAATTAACTTCAGTAATCTTGTTAATAAAACAAGTAAATAAGTGGGGGAGAAAAAAATATCACAAAATTTTTAATATTTTACACATTCATAAACATAAATTGAATAAAACATTATAACAGCTAGCATTATAAACAAACAAACCAAATAGCCAAATGTTTCAGCCTTGCATAAAACAATCATCGTTGTTTGTTCATTCAAAATAACATATTTGACAACATTTGTGTTTATTTTGGTCTGATTTCAAAGGCGTGTTTGAATGAAACATCTTCAAATTTACCAGCAGATATCAATATGGCAACAGCGTTTTAACGTACGCAAAGAAACCCACAACAAAGAATGTGTAAAATGTATTCCAATATAACGCTGACAGAATAATTATATGCTTTTAAAATATGTTGTAAACGCTTGTTTTTACTCACAAACGCTCTTCCTGTCTACACTGCTGCTGCTGCTGCTTCTTCTGCTACTGTCCGTCAGTGAGAGGCGTGTGACTCATGCATGTGTTTATAAGCGCCCCCTGGTGGATGAGCTCCATCATAATAATATAATATAATATAATATAATATAATATAATATATTTCACATTTCACACTATACTCACATTTCTGAATTATACTATCTAATTTATAATTTATTTATAATCCTAGTATATGAATAGAATGGAATAGAATTTATCTTTTTTGTCTTTTTTATCGCATAGTATTATAATTTATTTATAATCCTAGTAAAATATAAAATATAATAATGTACACACATATACATTAATACATTAATACAATAAATTATGAGGTAGTTATATATATATATATATATATATAACTACCTCATAATTTATTTTATAATTCTAGTATATTAATATAATATATTTTTATCATATGTTTAACTTTTGCAGGAACTATAAAGAATGGGGAAAAGAAAAATAACATTACTGAATGATACTTGTTCATTATTCATTTTATAATCCTAGTACATAAAAATAATAAAAATAAAAATATAATACCTGTATTTTAGAGTAAAGTTCTAGTATATTAATAGAATAGAATAGAATAGAATAGAATTTGTCGTATTTTTCTTTATTATCACATATGATAAGAAATATAAAGTACAGGTGGGAAAAAACATAATTTCTAAATTATACTTTCTAATTTATAATTTATTTATAATCCTAGTATATGAATACAGTAAAATATAATAATGTACACACACACATATATATATATATATATATATATATATATACACACACACACACACACACATTTAAAACTGGCTCAAAATTTGTTTTATAATTCTATAAAAATATATTAATATAATATATTTTTATCATATGTTTAACTTTTGCAAAAAATATAAAGAATGGGGGAAATAAAAAATATCATTACTGAATGATACTTGTTAATTATTCATTTTATAATCCTAGTACAGTAAAATACTCAAAATAAAAATATAGATTCTGTATTTTTAGAGTAAAGTTTTCATATACCATAAATAATTTTTGTACATTAAATTCAACAACAACAAAAAAAAAAGTGTGGGTTCTGCATTATAAACGAATAACTGGCGAAATTAAATGTTTAAAATTATTATTGAGCTAGTGAATAGCACTTTTCATCGTCTTTCAAATTATAAAATATTTCCCAAATGTAAACGAGAGGTTGATCATCTCAGAGACCGCTCCACTCAGAGGCCTCCCTCACACCGTAGATCTTTCCGCTCGCCTGCAGGCGCTCCTCTTCTGCGCCTGTCATATGATCAGCTTCCCGTTTGTTTGTGTTCATGCAGCAAGCTAACTGCTTCCCACTATGAAACCTCCTCATCTGTGTCCAAACTGAACTTGTAATCCACACCGATCCCACCTCAATAACCCAAACAGCCTACAGAGTCCACACAGACAGATCAGAGGGATTTAAAGCTTTAAAAACAGGGTTATAATGTCGATGGAGTACGAGGAGCAGCTAGCCGGAAGCCTGGTGGACTCTTTCCCTAAAGATTTCGGCTACGGCGTGGAAAACATGGATATGATGCAGGAAAACCTGGAAAACTCGCCGTCTGCAGACAATAAACCCAGAATCCTGCTGATGGGACTGAGGCGCAGCGGGAAATCCTCCATCCAGAAGGTCAGATCCCATTGGGATACTGCACTAACAATAAAAGTACCATGGTAAAGCCTTGGATTTGGACACTACCAATATGATAATACCACGCTGTTTTATGAAGTACCAAGGTGTACCATTTCTTACAAAAACACACTGTAGCAGTACCATGGTACAGTAATGGTGTCAGATGCTAGTATGTTGGTTCTTTTACGTATACCGTGAGACGTCCGAGAATACCATGGTACATATTCAAAAACATGATATTACCACGGTACCATAGTGCTGTAGTACCAAAAACTGGACATGTACCACGGTAATAATATATAGTATCATGGAGTACCATTTAAATACAATTGTATATGAATTTCAGTATCATGTTATATTTAGACGTACCACAGTATTACCATCACTTTACTATGGTATCGCTACAGTACTTATAGGGACAGCTACTTTTTTTGGTACTTTTTGAAAGTGTAACCATTATAGCAGTGAACAATAACATGGTATTACCATTTTATATTTTATTTTGTTAGATTAATATTCTTGTATTTATTATTATATAATTTATCTATATTATATATAAAACGTATATTTTTATATAAGTGCTATATAAAGTATACTACTTTTAGGTTATGTTGTACTTTTATGTTATATATCTTTTATTCGGTTAAATATATAGCAGATGGATGGACATTTTATTGAGTGCTTGTTGACTGAAGTCAACATAAAGTTAAATTCCTACTGAATTAAAACAAATTTATATATTTGTTTTGTTAACAAACGTCTAGTGATCATATTGTGCATGATTCATCAGTGTATGCATGTTAAAAGACAAATGCTTTTCTTCATATTTTATCACAATGGAACATCTACTGATTCTGCTGACATAACCGAGTGAAATGCATTTCAAATATTGCTTCATGTTTCATTTAGAACTATAATTGCAAAAGAACATTTCCTTTTATTGTTAAATAACATTTAATGCTGCTTAAAATCCCTCGTCCTCTGGAACTCATTTTCTGTTGGATGTGTTTAGATGAAATAATATTTTTGTCATTTGGGTTTGTAAGATTTTATTTCTGTGCGAGCCTTGTGAATATAATTGAATAAGGAATGAATCCGATATGTTTTATAATATCTGTAGGCTATATGTACATTGCATATTCACCTGTGGTTTAATGTTGTGAATCTCAGGTGGTGTTTCATAAGATGTCCCCGAATGAGACGCTCTTCCTGGAGAGCACCAACAAGATCTACAAGGACGACATCTCTGGCAGTTCCTTCGTGAACTTTCACATATGGGACTTTCCGGGGCAGGTGGACTTTTTCGACCCCACATTCGATTACGAGATGATTTTCAGGGGCACCGGCGCGTTGATTTTCGTCATTGATGCTCAGGTGAGCCGACATCAGCGAAATATGAGGATTCTGAGAGTGATTGTTGTTTAATATGCTTACTTTCATTTGGAATTGGCTCTGTGCCTGGCAAAGACTTTGCAGTTATCTTACCGTTGTGTTTGGATGTGTCTCTCTCTCTCTCTCTATAGGATGACTATGTAGAAGCATTAGGCCGGCTACATCTGACAGTGTCGCGGGCATTCAGGGTGAACCCGGAGATCAATTTCGAGGTGTTTATACACAAGGTGGACGGTTTATCAGACGATCATAAGATAGAGACGCAGAGAGACATTCATCAGAGGGCTAATGATGATCTAGCTGACGCCAGTCTGGAAAAGCTTCACCTCAGGTTGGTCATACTGGTCCTAAAGCCGGATCAATTTGCCATGATACAGTCTAATAACAGATAGTGAGTGTTTGGTAGGATTATTCTGTGCTTTCAGCTGGGTTACAATGATATTCCAGCAAGTTCCAACAGGTAAACAATGTTGTTATAGTTAAATAAAACTAAAAGTATTAAAATAATTTTTCATTAATTGAAATAAAGCTGAAAAAATTTTAATATTAGAAAAAAATTATGATAAAAAGCTGAAATAAAATATTAATATTTGATTAAAAAAATCTATAAGAGAAAATGTTGCCTTGGCAATTGTAGTACTGAGATTACTGAAAGTGAAATAAAAATAAATAAAAGGTAAATAGAAGTATATTCAATGTGTTTATATTGTTTTTAAAATTATATTATTTCAATATAATGTTTACTTTTATTATTAAGCAAATTGGTACACTTCACAGTAAGGTTCCATTTGTTAACATTAATTAACATTAGTTATCAACCTAACAACCAAAAAACTTCTAAAGCATTTATTACTCTTAGTTAATGATGATTCCAACATTTAGTAATACATTATTAAAATCAAAAGTTGTATCTATTAAAGGGGTCATAGGATGCTACATGCACTTTTACAAGTTGTTTGAACTGAAATGTGTGTTGGCAGTGTGTGTACACAACCACCCTATAATGATAAAAATCCACCCAGTTTTTTTTTTTAATCTGGTTAAATGTTTTCCCCTTTCTCAAATCGAGCCGATCTCAGATAAGATGGTAAACAGATTATCTTTTTACCAAGTTCAAGGGGATACCCATATGTTTGGATTGTTTGGAAATCTGTATTATGGGGAGGAGTTGTTAAAAAAAAAAATTTTTTTGAAAAAAAACACCACACAAACAAAAAAAAACCTTGCATCACAGGAAGTGTATTGTGATTTGTCAAAACATTACAATGAAACACGTTTACTGACAACATAAAAGAAACAAATTAACATGTGCTCAAAATTAGCAATTAATGTGTGTTCGGTTGTAAGCGCGGGTGGCTGCTTTTGCAGCCTTTATCACTGACTGGGGTGGCTCCCACTTGTAGCATGGCTCCAAGTTTGCCAACTTGATCTAAAATCATTCTGACATTGACGAGCGCTGTCTGGAGTTTTTTTTTATCATAAATAAATATTGAATTTGGCAGGGACATTTTTCTGCGTGAGAAAATGGATGTGTGGCGTGAGAGCGTGAGAATAGTGTCAATTGCGTGAGTATCAAGCTGAATGCGTGAGAGTTGGCAGCCCTGCCTTTCCCAATAATGTGCTAATTAGCAAGTTTCTCGATGAATGGGGCTAAGGTAAACAGACTCTGAGAGCGAGCAGCTCGGATGAGAGGGGCGGGGTCAGCAGAGCTCATTAACATTTAAAGGAAAATGCTACAAAAACGGCTTGATCTGAAAAGAGCTGTTTTTGACAGGGTAAAAAAGGTGTTTTTTACACTACCATTGAGAAATTTTAACCAAACTATGTTACAGACTTTTCATTAAGACCGTAAAGAATCATATCAACATGTGGAAAATGGGCATCCTATGACCCCGTTAAAGTTATTTTATGGACTAACAATGAACAGTTGTATTTTTATTAACTAACATTAACAAAGGTTAATAAATACTGTAACAATGTATTGCTCATTGTTAGTTAATGTTAGTAAATGCATTAAATATAATTAACAAATGGATCCTTATTGTAAAGTGTTACCAGCAAATTGTTTGAATTCTTCCCTTTTTTGAAGCTCTTTTTCTGGCATTTCTGGATGAAATGAGGGTTATATGAACTGATATATCATGTTAATGTATTCTCTTGATTTGTTTTCAGTTTCTATCTCACCAGCATCTATGATCACTCCATATTTGAGGCCTTCAGTAAGGTGGTCCAGAAACTCATCCCTCAACTGCCCACTCTGGAAAACCTCCTCAACATATTCATTTCTGTATGTACACAGCTGCGTATCCTCATCTTTATTTTCTTCTTTAAATTAAGGAATGTCTCTCTCCAATTCTAAAGTGCAACCTGAGCCAGATTCCTTTTCTTTCTGTACTTGGTCTAGTCAAAATCTGTATTATCTACCACATGCATATTTGTCAATATATTGTTCCCTCTCAGAATTCTGGGATTGAGAAAGCGTTCCTGTTCGATGTGGTCAGTAAAATCTACATCGCCACAGACAGCTCTCCAGTGGACATGCAGTCGTACGAGCTCTGCTGTGACATGATCGATGTCGTCATTGACGTTTCATGTATTTACGGGTGAGAAACTGTGATGCAGTGCTCTATCAACACACTACCGTTCAGAAAGTCTGGGGTCATACGATTTTTTAAAATGTTTTTGAAAGACGTCTCTTATGCTCACCAAGAATGGATTTCTTTAAGCAAACAAACAGTTAAAACAGAAAAATTGTGAAATATTATTATATAAAATAACTATTTTCTATGTTAATATATTTTAAAATGTAATTTATTTCTGTAATGTGAAGTTACATTTTCAGTTTTGTCATTATGATTCTTCAGAAATCATTCTAATATGCCAATTTGCTGCTCAAAAAACATTTCTTATTATTATCAATGTTGAAAACGGTCTTTTTTTTGTATTTAATGTGTCCTTGCTGAATAAAAGTATTAAAGTGCCCCTATGATGCCATTTTTAAGGTTCCTAATATTGTTTTGGGAGTCTCCTACAAGAGCTTTACATGCATGCAAGGTCAAAAAATGCTTTTGTTTTCTCAAAATATGCATTTAATATCACCTCATTTTCCAACGATTCTCAAACGATTCATTCGAAGCAGTTTTAAAATTCAGTCTCTCTAAACCCCTCCTTTCCGTGAGCCTACTCTGCTCTGATTGGTCAGACAGCCCAGTCTGTTGTGATTGGTCTACCGCGTACAGCATGTGTCGGAAACGATACGCCCACTGCCATAGTTGCGTATTTTGAACGGTCGATAGAAAATATAAACATCTATTATTTCTCATACTCACAGGTTGTGATTCATTGAAGCCAAATCACTGGGTACTGAGCCATCTTTCAAGAGCATGCGTTTTGTGAACTCCCCGAGATTAGAGAAGCAGTCGTCAGTAAAATGATGGGAACACACACACAAAAAAGATTGGGGTTTTACTGCTGTATTATAGTGGAAAAAAATAATTTTAACCACTGATTCTTTGCAGCCTCATCTTTCGGAAGTGAAAATCAAACAAATTTACTTTCACAGCGTCTTCTTGACACGAACAGACTACAGTGTTTGAGGGCGGGTCAATTTATTTGTGGCCGGACAACGTAGAACATAGGCGGGCATTATGAAAATGTGTTGCCTGTGACGTGTAGCCGTCACAGAATTGGGATTCGAATTACTGATGACTCGTTTAGACTGTTCAGAGTCGATTCTTTCTTTTGGGAGACAACTTTATTTATCGTGCACTTTCGGCTTTACAACTTTGCAGATCGTTTACATTCTCATACAGCTACATTACACACTGCATGAAAGGCAATATCCGAAATGGCATTTAAGGGCACTTTTATTTCTTTAAAATTGAGCCCAAACTTTTGAACAGTGGTGTATACTACTTAAAAAATATAGTATTTTCTTATCTTTTTTTATGCTGACAATATATAAGATAAATGCTATATATTGTGTCCTCTATTATGTGTTAGAGCTTTTTAAAATCCATTTATTGAATGTTTTTAGCCTAAAAGACGACGGCAATGGTAACGCTTATGATAAAGAGTCTCTGGCCATCATAAAGTTGAACAACACCACAGTGCTTTACCTGAAGGAGGTCACCAAGTTCCTGGCTCTGGTCTGCATCCTGAGAGAAGAGAGCTTTGAGAGAAAAGGTACAGATGTTTGACATGATCATTCGCTGTAGAATATCAGCATGTTTTGTTGACTTGTGTATAGGTAAAGTGTCACGTATAACCATTTTTGGTTCTCCAAAGAACCCTTCAGTGAACAGTTCTTAAAAGAACCATGTGTGAAAACATTTCAAAAATCTAAAGAATCTTTTTTCCCTATAAAGAAACTTCTGTAGAATTTCCATGGATGTTAAAGTTCTTCACTGAACCACAGATTCCAACAGAGGACCATAATTTTTAAGACTGTAGTGTGATCAAATTAACTTAGCAAAAATATTAACTGGTTTTCCCAAACATTTGTTGTTCTTCCATTGCTTGGTCAAGTACATACTCACGCTAGGTGAGATTGGTTGAATAGTTGTTATTTCAGACTGCTCTAACCAACAAAATGATAAAAGCACCACAGTGTTTCTTACTTAAAAGCATCTCGTTTGTAACTCCGAATATGGCTCACGTCTCTATTGCTGCGTTCAAGTCCTCTTGGGACGTTCGTAGTTACGAGTTGACAAGTCGTAATTACGACGTCAGGTGCGTTCAAGTCAGTTTAGTCGGCACAAGATGGCGGTGTACCTTCTTTTAATAAATTACAAGAAAATACAACAGGGTCTGTTAACTCTGCTTATAGAAAATGAAGAGCAAAGAATTCGCATCAGGTGTGTTTTTTTCACCTATAGGTGCAAAAATGATAGCAGTTTTTTACTTGGATTTCATTAACTAGCTGCGTAACAAGAACATGACCAATTTAAGTTTATAGGACAACTAAACTATAAATTTAAACAAAAATTTACCGTCAACTACAGATGTTGCATCCATCGATTCCGCCATGTTTCTCATTGACACGCCCCCAACTCGGAAACTCGGGGCTTAAAGAAAATTTTGAGTTTCCCACTCGTAATAACGACTTTGTGGTGGCGTTCATGTGCGTTCAACTCGTAAATACGATCTATCCGACATGACTTGAACTCACCATATCTTCCACAGGTTTGATAGACTACAACTTCCACTGCTTTCGAAAGGCCATCCACGAGGTATTCAAGGTGAGCAGCTCCACCCAGAGGACAGGAGCGGCGGTGCAGTCCAGCCCACCCAGCAGCAGCGGCAACGGCCTGGCCCGACTCAAATCCACAGCACTGAACGGTACACCCAGGAGCCTGGTTTAACCCAGGACACACGGACCTCTAAGAACACAGGGCCTTCACACTAGTGCGCTGAACGTGTGCCAATGTACACGTGAGATTACTGGAGCGTTTCTCTAGTTATACCTGCTGTTCCAGGACCTGAGAGACACTTCAGGACACTCATACAGGACAGACTACATTGCTGCTTTTTTGTGATATTTTGATGTGTGTGTGTGTGAGAGATAGAGAGAGATTGTGTGCAAGCGCAGCATCAGCTGTTATAGTGGGGGAAATGGGAAATCTTTAGTTTAGCCAACAGAATGAGGCACAATGAAATGATCTAGAATTGTCACACTGAGGAAATACAATCTCAAAACCAGTGAGCTGCCTATCATTTTTATATCATTATGTTTATGGTGGCCAAAAGTGTTGTCTAGGTAAGACACGCTCTCTAAGTTTCGAGGCACAACCCACTTTTCAGAGGTTTGAGGGTGAATTTTACAACAAAAAAAAAAACAACACTTTTTCAAGTGACATTTCACAAACCAATCAAAATGAAAAATTGCTTAAATTATGCCTATTTTTAGGTGCATTAAAATGTTTACATTGTGATAAAACACATTTTACCTAAATTCTCATCGCCGTCAATAAGTCAGAAAATATTACTATTTTATTTTATTATTATTTTTTGTAATTCCCATTATTCACACATTTTCTAGATTTTCATTACTTTAATGTTGTTACAGTAAAATTGTATTATTTAAATCATTATAAAAGTTGTACAATAAATACCATGTAATTCTTTACCATTCAAAAGAATATATTTTTTCACATTTTTTAAAATGAGAATACAGGTTTGTTTTGTTTTGTTTTTTCTTTTTTTTTAAGAATTTGGGTGAAATGTACTTAAATCTTATCAAAACAATGTGACATTTTAAATTAAAAATAGGCTTAATTTTCTTTAAGCAATATATTTCCTATTTCTTGCTTTTGGTTTTGGGGTGAAATATGACCTGGACATGTTAGATTCACTCATGAAACAGATCTTCACTCCCTTTTGTAACAAAATTCCCAGGCAAAACTGTCTTTAAGATTCCAGTTGTTAATATTGGCCTGTGCTGTGACTGTGTTGGCTGCTGCTGTTATATACTTCTGAAACAAGGGGAAAAATAAAGGGAGAAAAGGCTAAAGACGTTTTTTGAACGTCATCATGTCTTTGTGAACTGCCTTACAGCGAAATGAATCACAGACTTTTTTCTTCAGGAATGTATGTTTTTTTCCTGCCAAATTATTCCTCATTTCAATTTGAAATGAATCTGGGAATAAGCATCAGCCCAGACTAACAGCATGTGTGTATTTTGCCATAAAATGCTTCTTGCAAAATTCTGATATGCTGAGAACACAGAATAATGACACTCAAGATTGTTGAACAAGCGATTAATGGTATTATGTTTTCATATGTGAAGTCCCAGGGTCCAAAATAACCCTCTTTCCTTTTTTTATTACATGATTCATTATTTTATTCATTCTCAAAAATTCCCCTTTCATGAATGGATATAATGAGGGCTTGTGTGTGTGTGTGTGTGTGTGTGTGTAAGAGACTCACTGCTGAGTGTGATTGTGTTGAATGATGATTGTTATTGATTGTTGTGTGTGTTTTCCTTTCTTTTTTCTAATAAAGTGTAAAAGAATAAGATATACATTTTTGTGATTGAACTATAATGATTATTGTAAAGATATCAAGAAAATGAGAATTGTTTACTTATGGTATATTTTGTCTCAGAGCTCGCTGATAAATTAAAGCTATATTCATTTGAGCTCTGGTCTCATTCGTGTGTGTGTGTGTGTGTGTGTGTGTGTGTTGCTCTTGTTTCACCTCTAGATGTCTCTGTGTGTCAGGATCAAGATTCAGCAAATTGAAGCATGCAAGCAGGAACTAAACTGAATATAATTTTGAAGAATAAAAAAAGAACAGTATATAGAACAGTATCTGATCAGAATTTAGAGTTAGAACTGTGTTTTTTAATCAATTTGTAATATGTTAAAAATCAACATTTGTTAAATCATATGAGGGTTTCTGCAAGTCTTAAAAAATGTCTTAAAAGTCTTAATTTGCACTATCACAAATTTAGGCCTTAAAACTTCTTAAATCAGAGCAGAAAGTGTTCATGAAGTCATGGCATTAAATTTTGTATGCATTGCAAAAAGAAACTTATATTTAGTTTTCCAATGCAAATATCTAAACATCCTTAAGATAGATTTACTTGAGATGCAAAATAAAGATATAAAGTCTTGTTTTCTGAGGAACTGAACAAAATTAAATGAGTTAAATGAGAGGCTATAAATAAAATTTACATCTGTAAATGTCAAACCGGTTTTCTCTTTGAATTAAGTTGATTTTTCTGAGCCCACTGGCAGATATTTGTTTTTGTTTTAAAGGGGTCATATGATGCGATTTCAATTTTTCCTTTCTCTTTGGAGTGTTACAAGCTCTTGGTGCATAAAGAAGATCTGTAAAGTTGCAAAGACTAAAGTCTCAAATCCAAAGAGATATTCTTTATAAACGTTAAGAGTCAGCCACGCCTACCTAAAACGGCTCGTTCTAATACGCCCGCACATATCTACATCACTATGTGGGAAGATTTGCATAACGCCGCCCAAATGTTCACGCAAAAAAAAGAAGGTAGAAGTAACTTTTATTCTCACTGTAGTATTGTTGCCGCCGCCTCCATGTCGTAAAGGCGCTGTGTGTTTCGTTGTGAAAGCGAAACTACTTTGTTTGGTCTTCCAAAAGAGGACGATATCTGCTTCATCATGCCTAGAGCTGATCTATGCTGGTCGCTGAGGGAATACATCAACTTACTGTGGATCGCCGGATCGACTTTCACCGTGGACGAAGCGGAGTCAAGCCC